ATGGGCGGCAGGTAACGCTAATTGATACACCCGGCTTCGATGACTCGGACCCGGAGCGCAAGGAGGTTGACATCCTCAAGATTGTCTCCAAGCACTTGATGGAGAGACACGGTGCGGGTACCAAGCTCAATGGCGTTATACTTCTGCAGCCTATCTCCAACGCACGTGTTGGAGCTACTGAAGGCTTTCGCACACGCCTATTCAAGATGATGATTGGCGAGGAGTCGTATGATCGCGTTGTGATTGGCGGCACCCATTGTGCGGATCGAACGGAGGCACAGACTCGGGTTGATAGGCGGACGGAACGCGATAATATTTGGGGTGACATGGTGAAGAGAGGAGCTCACGCATTGCCTTACGGGAATACCCAAAAGGAAGCTCTCACAATTGTCCGGAGGCTAATGGAGTGTGACGCCAAGCACATCTTGCTTCAAGAAGAGCTTGCACGCGGAAAGACTTTGGAGGAAACCGCCGCTGGCAAAGAGATTAACAAGCACAAGACCGAGGAGATTATCAAGCTTCAGGGTCAGCTCCGGGACCTGCAATCTGATAGGGACGCTACCAGGGCTGAAATGGATGACCTTCGGAACAAGATTTATGAGAGAGAGGAGGAGATTATGGATTTGAAGCGTGGTTGCTAATGCATTGGTGTGGACTGGACTCGCTCAAGGACATGTTTGAGAGATGCAGATGGATTTGAAGTTGTGAAATAATTCAGTTTCTCGAAGCGATTGTGGATGAGGCAAAGCTGAAATTCGGAAGCAACCCAAAGTCTTGCTGGCTTTGATAACATAAAAGTGCAGGAGGCCAGATATTCCTGTTGGCGTTTGTGTCAAACACCCTGGCGGGCCTTTGCAGTAAACGCCACTTGGTATCCATTTCCCGTCGTCCAACATTGTCTGACGGTACTTATGATCGAAACAAACGGTTGCTAATTTTCCAAACAACATCTCCGGAATGGTACACAGGGCAAAAATAAGAAGCGTTGTGCCATCGTTTGTCAAAGACATCGTATATCCATAATCCAACAGCCCATCTGATGATGGAGGCAACGGTGCTAAAATGCACGATGGGAGTGTGGTAATAGCAAGAACTGTCGGGAACAAGATCAGAAACTCAAAGACTCGAAGCGGATCATCCCCGAATCAGCCGCTTATTGAGTCTCTCGGTGGATACCTCAAGGTGTCACATATCTGGTATCAATGGCTCTCAACTCAGTATCTAGGCGTGGGTAGATAGCTTCAAAGCTTTGAGAACAACTGAATCTGGCTCATCTGCAGGGCGCCGCAGTATTAGCAGTGCTTGCCGCGCTGATACAGATATCTCGGCAAAGATCCGACGCTTGGACATCAAACAGAGCTGGTATCGGGGTGGTGACGGCAAATAGTGCGACCTGGCAACCTCCGTTTGGATTGGACGGCAGGGAAGGTTCAGGGATTTCGAAAGAGAAAAGTCCATGCATTTTCAGCTCAAAAGCGCCGTGCATAAATGAACAAATCGAGTTCAGGAAGGATCGGCATAAGATGGGATTGTTAACCATCTCGAGTTGATGAATGCCAAGACCGCAATGACTTTGTTGCTGTCTCATCCCATCTTGCGAGCCGTCTGTATCCGACATGCAAGTCTGATCTTCGCCCAGGCGAGATCCAGACCAGTGTTTCGAGATGCAACGCTGGGACTCTACCCGGTGAACCCCAGAGTGGTTCGTGATGCGCTGGGGAGTTATTGATGAAGGGGATGCGTACATATAACGATGGGATGGCTGTCGTTTTTCTACTCCTATCATCAGCACCACAAGACCACAAGAGCAAAACATTCATTCTTTTCCGAGTTGATCTCACCATTCCAGTTCTGTGAGCTGTTTCATTCTTTGCACATACTTTTTTCTGCATCAAACCGCCAGCCGGTCTTTACCAACAAACCTCAATCAAAATGTATGCCAAGACTCTTCTCATTGCTCTCTTCGCGGCCTCGACCGCCTCGGCTGCCGTTATCAACGTGCGTCAGAACCAAAATAATGGCAACAACAATAACAATGCCGCCCCCGACTTTGGTGTTTGCAATCCCACCATTGACTTCCAACTTGGCCGCGCCGGCCGTAAGGCCGATGAGGGCACCTTCCTGCCTACCGACGCGCTTGTGGCTCAGGGTCAACAAGACGCTCTGAACCCCAACATCATCACCAACCGTGTTTGCGACCAGCTTACGAACGTGTGCGAGGCCAATGATGCTGCAAAGGCGCTGTGCGAGGAGGCACAGGCTCTTGTCCAGAGTCTCGGAACCAAGGATGCCAGCACTGCCGATGCGTTCAACAGTGCTTTGGGATTCTAATGGTGGAAGCGATACATGGATGACGGGAAATGAATCTCAGATGATGGATTGAAGAACTCTTGGAGGGAAGATGATCAAGATGTGTCAATTTTGTAATTGTGGGATGGAAGGATGCCCAGCAATGACTGTATCATCGATATTCCACTTGTCAGCTTTCAAATCATGACTCTAAATCCAGATACCGTGCGTGAGACATTGTCCACTTAATAATGGTTGTGCTTGCGCGATCCCAAAGGCATGTTGGAGGTTGTTCAAATTTGGCTGTTCCTTCCCAGTTGTGATTCACCTTCGGCAATCAACGTCATGGAGCGGAGGAAATGAACAAAGATGAAAGTCCCGCACCTTTCAGAATCCATTTCATCTTACCAGGTGGCTCAGGTGGAGCATGGCGGAAGACAGTCATGGCTGTCAGGGAATGAACCCCTCATCTTGGTTCGGTCTGAACACTGGGCAACTACTGGGAGAGCATTCCAAGTTGGGAAATATCATCACAGTCCTGGGAATTCCTGCCGCGTTGGCAACTTGGTCTCCTGCCGTTATTATGCTCAAGGAAGTTACACTCCAGCGAAGCAGACTCGGATACTGTCCAATGGTACTTCAAGTTCGGAAGTGCAAATTTTGCTCTTGGATTCCAAACGCTCCTTCCTCGCAGGCTGGTCGTCCCCAAGCAGCATGCCCAAATCCGAACCACACAAGTATTAACATGAAGATGCTCCATCTCGATTTTTCTTCAACTGTCAGCGTCAACTCCGAAGACCTGTCTTCTCTGTTTCCAATATCCCGCCGACTCATCACCTGTTCGACATCGATTTTGCAGCTTGCTCGCCACACTCCTTTGTAGCAACCATTTGCCGTATTATCTTGTCGTCCCAGGATGCGCATCCCTCAGGTTCTTATCGCAGGCGCGGGCCTCCTTGCCACTACTCATGGCTTGAACATCTTGATCACGGTCAGTCAGTGAAAACACAGTCCTTATTCCACACCTGTTCCCCATCCAATCACTGACCTCCATTATTTGACAGAATGACGATGGATTCGGGACAGCAAACATCCGTGAACTCTACAAGCAGATGAAATCGCTCGGTCATGATTGCTACATCGTTGCCTCGGTTGCCTCGGTTGCCTCGCAGACCGATGCTGGATTCCGTGGGGGCTTTACTACGCGCTCGACTTTGACTGCAGATGGTGACTGGGGTATGTTTTGATCTTGGTTGGTGTGCTGAGTCCTATGTTCAGGTTGCTAACACTCTGCAGGAATTATCAAGGCAGGTGCTCCGTCCCTGGGATTCGATCCGTCGGACGACCATATCTGGTATTACAACGGCACTCCAGCGGCGCAAGTGGTGGTCGCCCTCGACTATATCCTTCCCACGTTTGGAAAGATTGCGTCGCCAGACCTTGTCATTTCCGGTCCCAATGCCGCGTCCACCAGTGACTTCTTCCTTCGATCCATTTCCGGGGCCATGAGTGCAACATATGTCGCCATCGAGCGCGACATCCCGGCAATGGTGTTCTGGACTGGCAACAATGTTCCTATTCCGTATACCTGGCTCAACGCCAGCACCAAGGCTGGTCTCCAAGACCCATCGACCATCACTGCCCGCCTTGCGTCCAGCCTCGTTCAAGCTTTCATCACTAAGTCAGCTGGAGGGCGGGTCCTGCCACCAGGATATGGTGTCACGGTCAAGCTCCCATACATCACCTCGGCCACCAGTGATGAGTGCACCAATCCGCCGTTTGTGCTTCAGCGTCTGTCTGCTGGCGAAGTTGGAGCCAAAGCGACATACAACAGCAAAACAGGCCTCTTCAATCAAAACCTTGGAGCCTCCGGCACCAACAACTTTGCTTCCGATGGTATGGATGAAAATTTGAACATGATCAATTCCACTTGCATCAGTTCAGTTACTGTTTTCGCCGTCAAATATGACACGACGTACCACAGAGAGTGCTTCAACGTAACTGATGTCACCGCCATCATTCCCATTGTTGTCCAATCCAACGGCTCAGTGCCAGTCCCCGGTGGTCTGGGCCCGAATGCATCGGTATCAAGCAACGTGTCGCAACCTCCCCCTGATGGACCGTCTTCGCATCCACCTGCAATCATCAGCATTGGATCGGTTGGTCAATGGTCTTCTAGCGTTATCATGCTTGGTCTTGCCATTTGGGCCTTTATGTATTGAGGCAGGGCCGAACGGGGCGGGACAGCAAATTTTGTGCAAATTTTGATGTTGATATCGTTTTGTTTTGATCATTCTATACCTAGACTAGAGGGGATAGGTGGAGAGCTTTGACAAGCTGTTGTAATGTTGGACGAGTCTAGGCAGAGATAATATTGACCTCTTGACTTTGGTAATCGACTTTATGGCATGTGCCACGGAGACCGTATTGCAATTCCAAGATTAAGCTTGCGGCCTTGCAGTGGCGAGGTGCCATTGATCCATTGACAGGTGTCGGTCTATCGCAAATCTCATCTGCCACACTAGTTACATACCATCACATCAATGATGCTGAGAAAATAATACAGACATGCGTATTGTTTTCAATGCATCAGTCACCTTCCACCAAGTGCAAAGCTCCAGATACGGTGGTGATACACCTTGGGCTGTGTGGACCTCCGCCGCCGGTTTTGTGAATATGGGTATAAATGTCGGAACCGAATTCCATCAAATGCGGGTTTAGCTCAGTTGGGAGAGCGTCAGACTGAAGTCCCACTTCACTCAAACCTGAAACAAGGTAATCTGAAGGTCGTGTGTTCGATCCACACAAACCGCAATTTGTTTTTGCCTTTTTTCGCCTTTTGGTCTTTCATGACAAACTCTGGAAGGTTCCTGGCATTCTCCATGCGCCCATCGTGGGAAACGAGATAATTCGAAGCGGACGTGCATCGTAGAGCCACACAGGCGTCAAGCGCTGTCCTCACAAGCTCCAATGTCTTTTTTGGAAGTTTTCGCTCCATTCCTCCATCAGCCTTTCCCTTCAAACGTTTCGTCGCACTGCTGCATCGCGACATCCAATCGAATGTGTTCCCCATTTCCGCTGACGCACGAGTTTTTTGTTTCTTGGAATCCAACTCCGGGTGGCCCATGTGGCAGGTGTTGCAAGACGCCAGTGACGACACTGTTTCCGTCCTTGGGAAAACGCGCCAAGCCATACACCAATCATCAGCGGGCGATTGGTCAATTCTTCGATCGCCGCACCGCAATGATGTCAATATGCTCCTCTTTTGAGCACTTTGAGCAGGATCGACTCAAGGCCGGTGCCTCTCTTGTTGACGTAGCACTCAATATGTCTCGAATACCAGATGACGCTGATGCGTAGCAAATAGACTTGATAATTATTATTTATCGCAGAAGCTCCAGGTCCCCTCTCCGAATGCTCCCCAGCTTCTGACGACTCATGAACACAACCTGTGACGAAGAGCATACATATATATAATTTGCGACTTCACAGCGCTAACGCTAGTGACCATCTACAGGGTCCGAGTCTGAAAGCAGCTTGACAACATCGATAACGGCGCGATGGCGGCAGCATACCCTCTCCCGGGAGCCTATCCCGGCTCCGTTCCCCCAACCCCTGACGAGATCCCAACTCAGCAGCCGGAGCTGATTCAGGAACCTCCACACCAGCACAACCACCACCAACGCAACCAGTTGCTCAAGTCCCAGGACCCCCGCGGCCACACTGCTATAGACTCCGGCGTTGGCTTGACCGATTCGGAACCGATTTACACCTCGCAAAAGGACTACCACTGGAAGGGTCCCTCGGAAGCAGTTGGCGGCGGCACCTACAGCCGTGACCACAATGCTACCGCGGCGTTTGAGTCTGCAGGACTGAACGACATTCTGCCCCGCAATCCGGACCTCCCTTCGAAAGGTGCCGACCAAGATGTCCACACACGTGCGGCCGAGAGGAGCGTTCCCAGGACCGAAGTCTCACGACGAGATTCAGAGGAAGAGTTTCCCCTACGAGACAGCGAGGGCAGCTCACGGCTGAGCGGGATGGCCTATACCGGATCGTCCAAATCCACCGTCGGGGATGTTTCCAACAGAAACAGTGCATCCGAGCCTCCATACTGGGGGAGCCTTCCCAAGGCCGCCAGCGGCGGTATTTACAACACGGTAACTGGTCATGGGAGCGCCAATGACGATCACGCGCAACACCATGGTCTTCCCCAAAGGTCAGCAGGCCCTGAGAGATCCCATATCACTGGCGTCAACTCTGACATTCCAAGGGGTGGCACCTACAATACCGTAGCTGGGCATGGAAGCAACGACGTTGAGAACCAGCGCCACAGTTTCTCGCAGTCCGGCGGCGAGACTATGCCCGTTCCCAGCACTGCTGATGCTTCTTCTCGCAATACCGCATCCGGTCCCGCCGTTGGCGGACATACTCAGCACGCACATGTACCTTCTTCGGTTGCTAATGGCGCGCTGTCTGCTGCTCCTTTGCCAAAGATTCCCGAGGGGGAGCAGAAGAAGTCTTTTGGTCCCTCCGCTACCGAGACTAATAAGCCAGCCATTACTTCTGCTTCCATCCACAATACCCCAGCGGAAACTGATGCTTTGCTTGCGGGACCTGCCCCACGAAGTACTGATGGGGTGCTTTTACCGACATCGTTAGTTTCCCAAGCCAAGCCCGAACCTACCCCTCAGCGTGCATTCCCACTTGCGCCATCCCGCGCCGGCCGCGAAGACGAACGAAGGCGATCTGGTTCCCGCTCAAGAGATGCCACTCTCGGGGCGGCTGCTGGACTTGGGGCCGGCGCTGCTGCCTATGGCATTGCGGACAAGCGCAAGAAGGCCAACCAGCAGGCCGAACCAGCTCCCGTACAGGAGACCAGACATTCGAGGAGCGCCAGCGAGGACCAAGGTCACAAGGCCACTGGGAGTCTCTTTGCTCGCCAGTCGCGGGAGGAGAAGCGCTCCGCATCAGTCGACAAGCACAAGAAGCAGTTGCACTCTGAGGAGAAGAAGCACAAGGTTTTTAGCATCTTCCACCGACACAAGGATGACGAGCCCAAGGAAGACATATCAACATATGAGCCCCCCAGGAAGTCGGTTGACAAGGTTGAGCGGAAGGAGGAGGTTTTGGTAGGTGCCACTTCGAGCCCCAAGACGCGCAATCGTCTACGGAAGGGAAGCAAGAGTGAGAGGCGCTCCTCTTCGAGCGACAGTGACCGCTCCGGCCACGGCAGGGAGAAGCTCGCCGCAGCCGCTGGGGTTGGCGCATTGGGCCTACACCATCACAAGAAGGAGGAGAATCTCAAGGATGCCGCCCGGAAGCCTCAAGAGACCGCACCCACCACGCAGCCGATCTACCGGGACAATAAGACACCCACGGCGCCTAATAAGAACGCGCAGGTTGCTGCTGCTGGAGCTGGAGCTGGTCTCGCGGCAGGCTTGGGTGGGTACGGCATGGCTAAGAGAAACCACGAAAAGGCCGAGCATAACACCCTACCTGTGACTGAAGAGGTTTCTACTCCTTTTGAGCACCCAAGAGAGCCTCCAATGCCTCCTCAGGACAGCGTGCTCGGGACCTCAACTGTCGACCCGATTCCTAGGGCCAATCACCCGAACGTCGCGTTCACTGCGCTCCCCTCTGGGGCGCCTGCTGGGCCAAGCAGTACCCGCCCTTCTGAGTTTAATAACAACAGCAGAGGGGATATTGTCGCTCAGCAGCCAGGCCAGTACAACCACCTTCCCTCTGGCACGACTTCTGGGGTGAAGCAGGACTATGCTCGTCCATCCGAGTCCAACCACTCTGGCTATTCCAAGGACGCGACGGCAATGGGAGCTGCCGGTCTCGCTGCTGCCGTGAAGCGCGAGTCCCACCGTCCATCAGACCCGAGTGCTTCTAAGGGAGGCGTTTCTGACAATTACAACCACCTTCCTTCAGGTACCGCCTCTGGTGTCAACCCAGACCATACCCACACCTTCGAGTCCAACACATCCAAGCGTGGTGTGCCTGACAACTACAGCCACCTTCACTCCGGCACGGCCACCGGCGTCAAGCGCGACGCATCCTCGGCCGACAACACAGCCGCGTATAAGACGGCGTCTGATTGTGCCACCAGCCGTCCACCTAACGACCGTACCGATTCCGGGCCGTATAACAAACTCCCGTCGGGCACACCTTCAGGTGTAAAGATCAAGCCGAAGGAGCATCGTTCTCGTCAAAGCAGCGAGCCAGCGGTTCAGTCCAACTTGGCTGTAAGCACCCAGCCGCCGAGACACTCGGTTGATGTCACGTCGTCGAGGAAGGACTTGCCTCTTCCGCCTTCGTCGTCGAGCCCTACAGATGCCAACGCTCCAATTCATCATACCATCCTGCGCGCCCCCGAAACGGGAACGGCTACCAACCCCCCACCTCCTTCCCAGCCGGCTGCGCACTTCACATCATTCCCCAACCCGGGTATGGTGCAGAACATGAGTCCCGAGGTCATGCCGGAGACTTATAGGCAATCTGTCGTCCCGCCTCATGTCACCCGCCAGGCTGGTGGCGCTGAGAAGGATGTGAGCCCCAGAGGATCTACTAATGATGTTGTGTCGTCGGCGGCCGCTTGGCGACAACAGCCGCAGAGTAAGCAGCCCGCCCCTGCGTCTGTTTCTGCGCCCCCTCCTACTCCCTTTTCCTCTGCCCAAACTCAAAATAACACTTTGCACCAGTCTAAAGACCGGTCAACGGTTGGTCCCGCCCTTGCGGCTGCTACTGCTTCGTGGGGTGTGACGGGTGGTTTGCCGACTTCTAACACTGTGGACAAGGTGATGCATCAGTGTGAGCATTGTGGAAGGGAGAATGATGTTACCAGTCTTGTGAGGAGGGAGCAGGAGAAGTTGAAGGGTGGTTCGGTGATGCCTGGGAGCCATGGACAGTGGAGTCGTTCCAAGTAAATGGATGGGGAAAGGAGGCGTGATGAGTGATGAGTGATGAGTGATGGGTATTTGTTTTCTTGGATGTTTTTTTTTCCCTAGCAAATTGTAATTGTAATGTTTTTGGGTAGTGGTAAAATTTTATACGTATTTATGATATTTGAACCATGCTTCCGGTTGTTGTTGAGGGTGTAACATGACGGGAAAAGAAATCGGACCAAGTGTGCTGGGTGGGACACCATCATCACTTGTATATAAAGTCACAATGACCCAGGAGGATGCCTGAAGACAAGAATAATCGACCGACAGTGTTAATGCTAGCTTATAAAGAAGAAAACGAAAAAAGAACAGAATAAATCCGAACTAGGGAAAACTCACAGTGCACTCTGCACAGTAATTGACAAAATCCCTCCCTCATCCCAAGGAACAACATTCCCGGAAAGGAAAAAAATCTGACCAAAACGTGCTCACACACATGTATAAAAACGCCATCTCACTTCTCATCAAATCGCAACCCACGCAGAACTCGAAAACGCCGACTTCGGGTCGTCATCGTCCGAATCCGAAATAACGCTCAAAGCAAATAAACTGCCGTACCCACTTCCTTCCGACATGATGGATCCCAAGAGTGGATCTCCCTCTTCTCCATCTTGTTCCCCATTCTCTTCCTTCCCCGCATCATCATCATCATCATCATCGTTGTCGTCGTCCAATAATACCAAAACGTCTCTCCGTCTGCTCTTTTCGCCCGAAGATGTAGATTTCGACCTGCCCTCACCTAGCATAAACACACGATGCGTCCCTTCGCTGTCGTCCGAGTCGCTAGTTATTTCGGTTGCTGTCTCGGTTTTTTGCAAGGTGGTGGTATTCGACGGCGGTGTTGCCGTTGTGTCCGCACCGGTG